GGGACCGTTTCTACCTTATCCACAAATCGCTACAATTTTTATGACAAAAAAAACATAGACTCACATAGTAGCAAGAGCTGGTCAGATCGAAATAGGTCCAGTCAGAATCGCAACGGGGATCATTGGCAACTAAAACACTCTCATCTAACACCTATTTGTTCAACACATTCAAGAGTTTACCTACATTTGGCTGGAACAGCAATGGCCAAGGCTACTGCTGACAGCAAAAGGATGGCAAGAAACTTCATCACCTGAAAATAATCCAGCCGCTACTAATTAAAGTTGGTGACAATCTTATGGATAAGTTCCAAGGCATCGAGAAAGCGAGAAAATGGTGGTAGTTACGAACTTTACCCGAGGAAAAATCTACAGACATTTGCCGCAAAGACTAAGTTTTTATCAGCTCTTCATTGCATACCGTCCTCGTAAAGATAAGGCGGTTCCGTCTTGTGCGATTGGAAACCATATGTGGCCATTGAACAGAGAACTAGTTCAGATCAGCCTGTACCTTAATTGTAAGTTCAGCAGTGACATCATAAGGGATGAGCAAAGATATGATAGCAAACAACTGCTCTCAGGGCGCTAGGCAGTGATCTCCCACTTAAAGAGGTTATAAGCTATCTAGGAGCATAATCCTTAGAAAATGAGTTTTTTTCAAACAGTAGATGATTGAACCGATTCGATTTTCATTAAGTAGAACCAAGTCCCAGCAACAAGAATGGTTAGGGTTCTATGCGCAGTCTATACGAAATGGGACCCTCAATCAGGGAAGTTCGTCACTCTTCAATGGATTAGTTTGAGCTGTGTACGTCTTGACAGTGGCCGAAACCTAATTCAATTTAGGATAATTGTTTTCATTTCGGCTCATTCCAAGGTCAGGAACTCTTAAGCCAGTTGTAGTAATAATCATATCAAATCTTTGGTCTTTGATGCTTGTGTAGCAATCATTGAGCAGAAACCGCACTGGACTGCGATTCCCAGGGCTGTGATTTGGTGTGGATGGCAACACCGATTTCATACTTCAATGAAAGTGAAAGTCAGTGGCAGAACTTCTGGGCACAGCTTACCCATTTCCAGAATGTTGACTTCGACGAAAAGGTCTCCGAAGACTACTAAAATTGCAAAAATTCGACAGCTTGCTGATTTCTTTCAGTACAAATATGGAATTACCCTGTTGTATAAAGCACGTGTCTGAATTTTCATAAGGATACATGAACCTGCATGAACGATTAGAAAAAAGACGAATCTAAAAAAAATCGAAACGAAATAAATGCAATGCCATCGTTAATGGGCAATTGAGGTTCAATTTCTAATTACTCTATTGTGTCCGAAAGTACACATATAACGATAGAAAAAATGTTCTGATAAAATCGTTTCAGATGTAATGTTTCTGCCTTTATCGGTGAAGAAGAAGACAAATTTCCAAACAATTTTTTGAGAGAAATGCTCTTACACACATGCATGTTCAGGGTATCGGATCAGACCCATTACTCCCCGAACCGAGTCTTGTATCCTTCCGGGGTCGGTTAATTGCTACCATACTCGTGGGAGAGGGTAAGAGCTCTGACTTCTACATCGGCTGGCTACCGCAAGTCATGTATAGGCCATATATGCATTCAGAATGCCACTACGATTATAAATGAAGACCATGGCGAGCACATACTAAAATCAGGATTGATTAGGGTCAAATACTTTAGTCTTTATTATCCCTATACAAAACCTTGCAGAAAGGTCGTACCAATCGTGGAAGGCCTTTAGGATAGCATAATAGAAGTTTCAGCAACCGATACACATTTTGGAGCCACGCAGCCAGGATAAATAGAGCTTTCCATCGTCGATAGCAGCTTCCTGTGGCTCGTCTAGGCAGTTAAAGGACAAAGTAGCCTTCAGTAGGCATCAGTCAGCAATCTTTCTTAAACTTGTGATTCATGGCGCATTTTTATTGGCTCGAAAAACTTGGGTACCGTAACTTGTATAGTCATTATTCAACTTTCGGAACATCTATCGTAAATGTTTATCAAGTTCAACAACCAAAAAGCTGGTTCTTCCACTAAAAAGAAGATTTTGGAAGCCGATAAACAACATTCTTCACAGTCAAAGAATTATGGGAGACAGTTGCCAACCGTTCAAGAAGTCGCTCTCGTTCTGCAAACAGACAATCGATCCCTACAATTTCGGCGATATTCTCATGTTTCCGCCTCCTCCATCATGGCCGTTTCTCTGGACTCCTGCATATTGTCAAGCCTACTCATCTATCTGTTGAAAATTGAGAGACGTCGAAGGACATGGAAACGGTGCAGAACCCGCCGCCAGCTAACTCGACCCAATTTGGAGCAGCTCGTCGTCTTTGGCCCCTCGTCGTCAATTGTGACACTTCCGCACGATTGCACGCAACGTTGTTCCGTTGAATATCGATGATCAGACAAAGAAAAAGTAGTCCTGCGGTAGTACATAAGACAGGCAGGGCTCCTTAGGGGAACGTCCTTTCGTCGTTTTCTTTCTCTACCAGTAAGAGATGATCTCGTTTCCTAGTAGCCAGTGTTTCCTCTCCGCCTCTTCTCTTTTATCCCCGTCTATTCTTTCTAATTGCCAACGATCCGAGGCAGAGAATAGCGCAACAGCGCTGGGCCCTCTCAATCAACAATTCTTCGCATTTCCAAACAGCTTCTTCTGAACCTCTTTTTTCTACATTCAGTAGATTCGACCAACTTTCATCTCATCCCAATTGCAAAACTTGCTCTGTTCGGCTCCTCAAATTCATGACTGATCCACCATTGTCCGTCCGTCGAAGAACTGAGAAACATTATTGATCCCTATTGATCGGTCTTCTCTAGGAATTCGAAGCTTTTGATATCGTCTTACTATGGATATACGTACTTGTTGCCTTGAATGATCATTACCACTGATGACTGATAAGTGACTGATAAAAGTGGGAGTGACAAAAGGCGTAAATAATTACTCTTAGAAGTATAGCACAAGGGCTTAGGCTAACAGCCAGGTCTGACCAGACCGGCCAGGCCTCCTATCTGTTCAAGTTTCCCCCTAGTGATATTCGAATCGTTTAGGGGCAAAAGCAGGTAACGCTTGTATAAGCTGACCACTACCGTCGTCACTGTAGGGGCCAATTAAGTTTGAACCCTGCTATGGTTATAGATGAGCAGAGGTGGTGTGGGGACATCACATACGTATGGTCCTGGGATCAGATACCGGATCGATGTCCGCTCACGCTGACCTTTCATCTATCCAGGCTAGAATAAACCACCTCTTTGGGATGATAAAGGCTCTGGTTTCTAAGTACATGGCCACAGCGGTCGCATTCGCCTTCAAATCGCCACCACGATTCTGAGTGGAAATCGATGCTGGGGTGCATTCCTGATGGGGATTGGTTAAACGGTTAAGCCAATAAGCTCATGCCTTATCCTTCCGTGGTTCTATGCAAAAATCAAGGCCTACTCAAAACAAATTTTCCTTGTACATTTTCTTTGGACAGGGAATCAGGGACCGAGCAGTTCACAATTTGTTTTTATCTGGGTGCTTATTTGCTTATGCATGGCATCATATGTACAGCCATGCCTTTGATACATTTCATTCCAGCGAATTTTCAGGGAAATGATGTAATTGCTAAAATCTATAAAAAAGTTAAATTATAGGTTCAGTAAGAATTTCGTGACTATCAGAAATTCAGAACTGGGCCATTAATAAGCGCTCGGGCCTACTGGTGGTGTTTGAACTTTTCCCGTAGGCAGAATATGAGTTTAATTTGGAACGATAAATCTTCAATCGCCCATGAGCCTTCATCACCTTCGCTATATTCGACATCATTGTATAGCCACACAGGAACGAAGTAAGAACTCCTTTACCAAGTTCCTCTCATTCAATGGCTATTCTTTTCCGAAACATTTTTTGAGGTCGCTCGTCATAGGCTCTCCTGAACCTAAGAGGGAAATGTACTTGTATGCCGGAATCGTAATCAAATGACTTCGCCCTTAACATTGGTCATGGTCAGCCTAAAACATGCACCGGCTCAATTCGTTACCCCGACTCTTAGTGCTGCCACCATCATATCTTTTCATTCCCCTGTCTGCGAAATCGTCTCTGTCTTCAAAGATTTGTTAATCAGAAGTGAGATTTCATATGGAGGGTGAAAAGAAGTAATGAAATCTACGCAGGTTCCAGAAAAAGAAAACTCAAAAAAGGACCACGACCACAAGAAATTCTCATCTCACTAGCCTGGAGCTAACAGTGAGAACGAGCTCTAAGCGGTTCGCTTAGAACTGTACGTCTGTCCAATTTCAGCCAACATCAAGTCTGGGATACGATGTGCTGTTTCAAGCGTGGTAGAGGGGCTAACCANAAAGGACCACGACCACAAGAAATTCTCATCTCACTAGCCTGGAGCTAACAATAAGAACGAGCTCTAAGCGGTCCCCTTAGAACTGTATGTCTGTCCAATTTCAGCCAACATCAAGTCTGGGATACGATGTGCTGTTTCAAGCGTGGTAGAGGGGCTAACCATTCAGGTTTGCCGCTGCCATTGCCAGTCATTTGATCGAAATTCCTCTCTGACTCCATTTTGCTCGCTGCACGTTC